TGAATGAGATTTTAATAATAAGATCTATAATCTATTCGTAACAAATTACATGAAACATTTCAAAAATATAGCGAAACTTTATTTTTAAGTTGTAGTGTTGCGAGGCCCCAACTTGTCAGCAACTATGGTAGTGACTGCTATGAACTGTAAATTACACAAACTCGTAAGAAGGGTTTAAATCCCTTTTTATTCCACTTTAGAAATAACCGCTGCGTTCACTTGACGCTCACAAACTACGCCAACCCGGCGGTTTAACAAAACAGAAATGTGAAACTAAAAATAAATGACAGGATGAATAAATAACGAGATCACTACCTACGAGGCTCTAAAATCGTAACTAACTTAACCGCGTTCTAAGATACAGCTGAGATTCAGCAAGCTTACTGATTAAGCAGTTGAAGATTCAACGAACTGCCGAAATAGGCACACAGGCCGAAACGCGCGGTTCTTAAATTTCTACCTAGCAACCTTCACGCTTGCGATTCAAGAAGCACACATACAATCTCGTTTCAGTAGGCGCTCAATCCCAGAACGACTTCTATTGTTTGCTGGAAGAGTCCAAGATTTGTAGGTATGGTACGTGAAAGTAGGGATGAGCTAAGAGGAGAAAGGAAAAGGGATTTTGAGTATAGGGAATTTCAGTCATTTCGGGATTGAGTGCTTACTATGAACGAGCTCCTGCTTTGTGAGGGTAGCTAGCGTTTCATTAGTAAGTGTATTATTTATTATTCTTATTGATTGTCTGCCCTTTATTTACAGTTACAATTTTCTACAATACCTTAAGTAAATAAAAACTTTACAGTTACGTATTGTAACTTCATGTAATACTCTGTTACTTTACCGTAATAAGAGTTCTAATAAATATTAAATTTCGTTGCTATAAACAAAATTATGTAATTTCGCCAAAAACGTTATGCCTTTAAGCAAATTTTAAAGAAGCATACAATTTTACATTGCAAACACGTATTTCTCTACGAAATATATATATATTTTTGTTTCATAAATTGATAAAAATTAATCTTTCCTTAAACAAAATGTTCAATAAAACATGGAGCATAAAAATAAGCAGTGAAACTCCTTCCACGGTTCGGGAATAAGTCAGCGAGCACATCCCTTTTTTCCCTAGTACCCACTGAAAGCTATTCCAGGATCTAATTATTTCCTTTGGAAACCATTCCGGAACATTTCCTTTCTATTCCTCTTACCTGCGTATATTGAACTCGCCAAGCTAACAATAGCAGGCGTTCGAGATTGACGGTCTAGTTCTCGTTTCCCTTCTATTTAAACTCAATTTACTTCTACTAAAATTTGAATATACTGCGCGTTCTACTACAATTTACATACTCTGGCATTGGCAATTCTAGGGGAAGGTAAAGGCTTGACAGGAAAGATAGCTTAAAATAAATGTTAGTTAAAATAAATATAAACCCTACAAAGTAATTAATATTCAAAAAATGACAAACATATTATTTCACAAAAATCTTGATAGTAAACATTTTCATTTTTCATTAAATTAATATTTAGTAGGATATCCTTTAGCATCCACAACAGCATTTAACGTCTGGGAATAGATTTTACTAGTTTTTTTTTTGTAACTTCTGTATCAATGTTCATTTATTCTTCCATCATGACTGTTTTGAAACGCTTTTCGTTTTGATGTCGTGCTTCCGTACTCTAACCTCCAGTTCTTTCCAAATTTGTTCTATGGGGTTTAAATCTGGCGACTGAGTTGATGTTCTCAAAACCTGTGGACAATTATAGAGACACCACAGGCGAACGTTGAGCTTAGGATCGTTATCATGATTAAAAATAAAGTTGTTTCCAATACCCAAATTTTGGGCTAATAATTTTAAATTGTCTCTTAAAATATTTAAATAAAGAGAATGATTCATAATGCCATCAAGAAATACCAAATTAGATAGTCTTGATGCTGCCATGCACCCCCCCCCACAAGAACACCTCCACCGCCATGCTTTAATGTTTCAATTAAGTTATTAAAATGAAGTTCCTCATTTTTTCCTCTCCATATAGTTATTCAACCACCAGAACCAAAAATATTAAATTTCCTTTCATCAGTAAATAGGGCCTTATTCCAGTACGTTTCGGGTGTATTTATCATTGATTTTTCGATTCTCACTAACAAAAAACTGTTTTTCTCACTAACAAAAACCTTTTTACGGGCAGAACGCCCATGTAATCCAGCTTCTCTGAGAACTCGTCGAACAGTTTCAGGTGAAATTGAAGTAGGAAACTTTGCATTAAATTCTGCAGAAACTTTTACAGCACTCAAACGTGGGTTGTTCGCAAATTTTCTAATAATAAATCTCTCATCACATTCAGTTAACTTTCTCGGTCGACATTTTCTTACCTTGTTTTCAATCCAATTTTCTTCTTTAAAGCATTTTATCACATACTGCACTGTAGAATGGGATAAATGAACTAATTTAGCGATATTTCGAATTGATTTACCACTACAATCGTGAAAAATTATCAATTTTCAAAATGCTGTCTGTAATTTCTTTACGACTGCGACCCATTTTTCAATAATAAATAGAATATTATGAAGTAAACAATAAAAAATTAAAGCAAATGGTTTTATAAATGCCATCACAATGCAAAAATTAAAGAAAAGCGGTGAACGATAATTCCAATTTTGATTTTACTAAAAGTATTTCAGTGTACGAAGACTTTTGTGAGATAAAATGTTTGTCATTTTTTGATTATTAATTTCTTAAAAATAAAGTTTCGCTACCTTTAAAAATATTTCATGTAATTTTGTTACGAATAGATTATAGATCTTATTATTAAAATCTCATTCAGAAAGTTTACTTTTAATTAATGGATAGAGCCCTATTTCAATAAAAATTATAAGTGTACTAACACTTTTCGGAGCCACTGTATATATATACACTGACTACCAATAAGTATTTGGACACCTAAGCAAATGACGATATCTGCGGTCCTAAGGTACGTCTCGGACTCCGCCGTTATATATCGTGTAGGAAACAGCATCGGCTTTAGTCGCATGCAAGATGCCTCGCAGTTCGGAGCTCTCTGATTTCTAGAAAAGTATAATTATCGGGTATCACAAATGTGGCCGATCCTTAAAGGACATATCTAGCGATCTGAACTACCCAAAATCGACAGTGGCCTATGTGATTAAGAGGTGGAAGGTGAGAGGTGATTGTCGGAATGTGCCCCGAGTCGGCAGACCAAGGAAACTGGGAGATAGAGACCGACGAGTTCTGTCCAGAGAAATTCGGAAGACCCACACCCAACCGAAGGCCCTCATCCGCGAGGAGTTTCAACAGGCATCCGGAGTATTGTTTCAATGAATACCATCCGTAAGGAAGCACATCTGCTTGGTTTTAATGGTCGTGCTGCTGCCCATAAGCCTTTGATCACTAAGTCCAACCGCGCTGCTCGGTTAATGTGGTGCAAAGCACATCGAAATTGGACCGTAGATCAGTGGAAACGGGTTCTTTGGAATGACGAATCAAGGTTCACCCTTTACCGTTCGGATGGCAGGGTCTGGGTCTGGCGTCTACCTGGAGAACGTCTCCTGCCAGAATGCATTGTGCCAACAGTCAAGTTCGGCGGAGGTGGAATTATGGTCTGGGGGTGTTTCTCCTGGTATGGGCAGGGACCCTTGGTCCCCATTCGTGGTAAGCTCAACTCCAATGCCTACTGCGCTATTTTGGAGGACAATGTGCTTACTACGTTGTGGCAGTTTTACGGGTTGGACCCCTGTTACTTTCAGGACGATAATGCCAGTTATGTTTCGATGTTAACCAAGGCTTGGTATGGTGCCAATGGAGTTCATCGAATGGACTGGCCTGTCCAGAGTCCAGACCTGAACCCTATCGAGAACCTCTGGGACGAGTTGCATTGCCGAATTCAGGGGTGCACTACCCGTGCAAAATCGGTGAAGGAACTTCTATGTCTTCTCCAAGCCGAGTGGAAGAAAATACCACTAGCTGTCATACAAAGACTTGTGGAAAGTATGCCCCGGAGGGTCTACGCTGTAATTACCTCTCGTGGAGGCTCTACCAGCTATTGATTTTGAATAAAGTTAGTTTTTCTTTTCTATCACAGGTGTCCAAATACTTATTGGTAGTCAGTGTATAAAGGAAAATATATCTCATTTAGTAACTGTTTGTATATGTTACAAACTAGACAACAGAAGCAAAGGAAGATAAAATGAGTTAAATAAAAGCTGTTAAAAGGAATAAATTATTAACTTTTATACATCCACTTGATATTTTATAAGAAACAATACATATCTTAACAGAATTATTTAATAGGTAAATATATACATGTTATAGTTACAGAGTTATTAATACTGAACTATATAGGGTAAACTAAGAATCGTCATTATTAAATTAGAAAAAAATTATTATTATTTTATTGTTCACTTTCATCCAAATATAATCATTATTAAATATCATGGTTTACTAAATCCCAAAAATGTTCAGGAAAGATGTAATAACACAGGTGCTGAGACATGAGCATTCCATAAGGCGAAAAAAAAGCACTTCTGCCTACATTGCTATCATATCATATAAGCTCATGCTCAGCTGAAGGAGATTCCCCCCCCCCGTATATACTTAATATATATCTTTATTATAATGCGACCACGCTAACCATATGCAGTGCTAGTAACTGCCAATAGCTCGACACCATAGTCAAGCCATAAAAAAAGCACCATAAGTACACTCTGTTGAAAAATGAACCGCCATTTTTCTGTATTTAATACCCCCCCCACTAATCACATATGAAGTTTGCTGCTTCAGTAATTATATTTGACACACGCACAATTACATATAAGCCGCCATTACGAAATATCGGCGATCAAGTATCACGCTAGAAAATACGAACATATCATCGATAGTTCGTCCATTTCTGCGCATGCGCCAGCCACAAAATTTCGCCAAGACCTGATAAATCGCCAAATTTAGTGGCTAGTTGCGTTTCCTAGGGAGGAAGTAAAAATACGAGCGAGGAAATCGCTACGTGTAGACACGGGCCTTAAGAATTAAAATTCAGGCGCACCAAATATACAATATTTTGAGCGATGTTTAAATTCTTATACTTATTTGCTTAAGAAGCACGAAGTGAGTCTTGTGCTGCAGTCATTTTTTTAACATCTGAAATTTGTATAATTAGTTTTGTGTAATTGCTTAATTTTAAACACAATACCATGTCGGAGAAACGCGCGGGTTCATGGCAGCAGCATTCTTCAGATGAAATGGCTTTTGAGAAGGGAATCTGGAGTGCAGGTATAGTATCACTATTAGAGTACTTAAAAATCAAAATTTTATAATCTTTAATTTTTGGTTAAAAATATAAAAGGTTATCATGTATTCATCAATCTTTCAGCTTTGGATGGGGATGTTGAAAGATTAAAGCATTTTCTTTATGAAGGTGTTGATCCATCTCTTTGTGATTCTTCTGGATACACAGCTTTAGTAAGTTGTACTTTAAGTACTATGTAAAAATATGATATATATTAAAAAGTAGGAATTTTAAATTATTGCGGAATCGCAGTATTCATTAACAGTACGCTGAAGAATCTCCTTTTTAGTCAAATTCAGATTATTGCATCTCCAATGAGAGGTTCATTGGAAGGAGAATTAATCTTGGAGGGTACTGCGTGTGCATACATGTGTTATTTAGAAAAGGAAAATTCAGAATTCTTTGCATTTTTGCAATTTTTTAAATGCTATATTTTGTATGGGAAAATAATTACATGAACAGATGCCAAAAGCAAATTAAATCAGTCTAAACTATAAAATTAAGTTAATCTTCAGAAAACTAGCAAATTGGTACAAAAAGATTGAAATGCAATTTAATTTCTTTCTTGAGCTTGAAAATGCCTCAAAACAAAATTTTGGGATTATTATAATGAATTATGGTATTTAACATGCCAAGTATTGTGTTATATTATTTATCGTATTAAGTGTTATATTATAGTAGTTATCATGCTGAGGATTTCACATTTCTTGGGTATTAGCATTGTTGCTTTCTTGCTTCTGTGTTTTTTCTTCTTTTTATTTTAATCAAAGACTAACATTCTTACTGCCCTTAACAACGGTAACTTCTTTTATTTGTACCATATATAGTGAAGGCAAGTAGAAATGCCAGGTGTGTTTTATTATTTCTTTACCATGCTGTTTCTTATTTCTGTGACTTATCTCGTATTCAAAGCTTAATGATGTCTTGTCAATGTAGTAAATATCTTATGCATAGTATATTGTGAAGATTGTGTTTTAGTTTTCATTTTTTCACACTTGCTTCAAATTTATTAAAAATAGTTGCAAACATTCTGGCAGTTTTCTTGCAAATGACCATTACATCTTCATGGGTATATTTTGATCCCATATAGCTACGAGTAATAAAAGCAATATTTAATTTCCTTTCCTGTTTCCAATATTACAAAATATGTAAGAATGGCGCCTTTTCTTATCTAGTGTCATGGTACCATAGAAAATTTTGGTACAGATGTAGTATTAATGCCAAAAATTTATTTGTGATATTTGGTTCCTGTTTTAATTATGTAGATGGTTTGCCATTTTGGAACTATTTTTTGGCGAGAAACTCCCCACTGCCATATTGCTATCTAAATTTTTTGTCTACATTTCGAACTTTAAGCCTAAAATGTCTCCAAAAACACGGTTTTCAAGAATGCAAAAACCACGTTTTGAACACACAATTTAAGCTAAAAATCAGAAACAAAAGCAAAAAATTTAGATAGCAAAACCGTGAAGTTTCTAACCAAAATTATTTGACGTGTACACAGCGATATGTTTTAACTTAAAAAAACATCTACGGATGGCACCATCTAGGCAACGAACGAATTTACGAACTACGCACACCTCGCTTTAATAAATTAACATAACGACAATTAATTTCAAAGAATACCATGTACACAGTGTTCTGTTTCAACTTTAAAAAACATCTACGAATTGCACAATTTAGACGGTACGCACTAATCAACAAAATAACTAAAATAAATTTAAAACAATTCAAAAAAACAACAATAATGACAGAAATTCTTACTAAAAAAACAATGAACATAACATTCTACAAAATAAGAACAAGAATAAAATAAAATGCACTTACCGTTAATGCTTTTTCGAACAACAGAAATACCAATTTCATACCGCCTTTAACATACCGCCACGTAATCACCATTGTATTTATATGACAGCCAGACGCACTATACAGAAAATTCATAGTATGGTTAACAAATAAATAAAATAACAAATAATCACAAATCCGTACTTCTATCATGCACAGCCACTAAAAATAATCTCCCATACCTTCTTTCCACACCTCCAAATACCCACTGCCCCTCAACAGGAAGGCCACGATGATATTTCCTTATGCCGAACTTCAATTCAACAATTTTCACCATTAAATCTTTCCCCCCCCCTAGCTTCTCAGACACAAAACATGACGGGAACCAACGAATTCCAGCGAAAGATTTTTCAACGTCAACAGGGTTGCCATACAGCACGCAATCGTGCCAAAAACCAGCGCAGAACACATATCGCTACATTTGGTGAAATTAGGGCATATATCAGAGTTGTACCGCCATTTTTTCTGTCCTTTAATATTTTTTTTTGGTTGGGAGTGGAGGATATTCACCATATTTGAATCTCTGTTCTGTGAAGTAACTACCTCAGAGAAAGAAACTGCGAATAGAGAAGTCTTGTTAGTGCTGAGGGTGAAGGGACATTGCTGAGATGCAAGATTACATGTTAGGAAAACATTTTTGACGCATCACTTGGAATTTGAACAACGATTAAAGGAAGCCAAAACCCCGGAAGATCAGAGTGGAATTTCAATAGAACACGCAATGAAAACATCCAAACTCCTCAGTAAGAAGCAACGAACGGTAAAAGTACCTACCATTCCTAATAATGAAAATGATTGGACTACGCCCAAAAAGACTGCTCTGAAATTCCTGAAAAACGGATTCCGATGGAGATACCTTAAGAAAACCATTTTCAAGTACTTAGGAAAATTGCGAGGAAAACCCCGAAGGAGGAGCCAATGCTGACAATCCGCCCCCACCCATTGTATTCTCACAAGAAGATGTTGATTGGATGACGCTGGACGAAATGTTCACTCTAAATTGTACAGTATGCCATGAGTCACAAATGAAAGGGAAATCGGAAAGATTACAGTGTGATAACGAACTGTTGCTTGAAAAGAAGATCCCCTACCATTTGTACCAGTTTGAATTCGAGAAGCCGATTAGAGTCATCATGAAGAACGTCTCCGCTACTATCAAAGAAGTTGCCATACTTTCTGACCTTAAATACAGGAAATATCCAATAGAAAAAGTCAAGCAGTTCTCCAAAACCCATTAAGGACAGAAAATTAAACTCCCTGTATACCTACTGGAACTAAAAAGATCCCCTGAAGGCAATAAGATCCATCAGCTTAATAATATGACTGGTCGAACTTCCAGTACCGCCATTAGAGGGTTAACGGGGCTTAGTGGAGCCAGTCCCAGATCTAGCGGGGGTTCTTGCCCCAGGCGGCAATTCTCGTGGGTGGCAAATTCAAGTATAACTGCTGGATCGTATTTGGTATGTTGTTCGCTAAAACAGCTCTCTAATTTTAGTACAATGTTAATAGTTTTAAGGCCGAGTTTGAAAACCTCTTTTAAGAAGATTTATAATTAAATACTAAGAAACCTTTTAAATGAACTTGAGTTGAAATAAAGTTAAGTACAGCCAGTTATAGTTATAAATATAAGATCAGAAAGGCGCAAATAGAGGGACTCCAGGCGTCACTGATAGAATCAGACTGATCCTATCAGTAATGTCTGAAGTCCCTCTATCGTTTCTTGTCTGGCCGGGGTGTATTCAAATGAGAAATAGGACAATAGCTTGTTAGCTTGTTGGAGGAGTCGCCTTGTTTCCATAACAGTGTCTGCTGGGAAATGGAGAAGCATTGTAACTATTTTCTAAGAGCTAACCCAAAAAATTAACCTTGGGCCATCCTTGAGAAGTGAAATAATTCAAATTAATATTTGTCGAGTATATACAAGACACCATCATTATGTCTTCAAAGATGAAGCAAGGCATTTAGATTTCTTTGCAGCCAGTCGGCAACATAGGCTCACCTTCGGTTTGACTCGGAACAGTGGAGCATATTTTGGATTTTAAAGCTAGGTACATATACAAGTCAGCATTTGAAAGAACAACCTTCTTCATCGACATCAAACAAATAGCTAGAGGACATGAAACCATGATATAAAGATCTCCTTATTTAAATGGGGGCGGGCAGTAGAAAGACGAAAAACTTTTAATTTGTTGGACCCATGCGGCTGGTGATAGAAAAAAGTAAAAGATCACCAACAATCTTTCTTAAGCAGTCAATCAGTATTATTAGCCAGTAAACACCCAGAAAACGTAAACCTCAGTCCCATTGAACGTGATGGTAGACAATAAAAATCGTAAAAAACAACCTTATATTTAGCGTAGGTATAATGAAACACCCAATCGATTTCGAGGGCAGCTAAAGGTCCCTCCTCATCAGGAGAAAGAAATACATAGAAAGAAGAAAATAGGAGGAGGAGTCACAGAAACACGTAGTGCTTATCAGCTCTGCACGTGGTTATAACTAGACTTTTTAATCAGAGTTGCACTGGCCGCTACTTTTACTGAGCCAGGCTGTCTGATCAAGCATAAGAAAATATTAGCGAAGTTAAAAATAGGGAGTGAGGGGCAAATGCACATTACGCTCAAAATCTGAACTTCAAATAATGGAAAGCAACCACTGAACGGATTTTTATACCCACTGGTAGTACCAAGCACGAGGAGGTAACGCCATCTATCGGCAAAAATAACTGAATTAAGATAGTAGAATTTTAAAGGCATTAGGAAGGACTGGATTGGACTTCAAATCATTAACTAAACTTCTAAATCTTTGTGAATGTGTGAAAAGCCTCAAGAAAATCCAATTCGCCTATGGAAGAAGCCTTTTGGATGATTTTTGCAGACCCAAAATCAAATTATGGTTAAAAGTCCAGCTATGATACGCTATTGAAGACTTGTTAATTTCCCCTTTTTGACATAAGATTCATGTTCCTTGATACGAAACTTCAACGCTCTTTTGTTTGGCCAATATATCTTAAACCACACTGACATGATATACTATAAATTCCCCAAGAATTCAAGACAGAAACGCAATCTTTTAGAATCGAAGGGTGAATTTTATTAATAGGGGAGAAACCGACTTGAAAATTGAATTTCTGGAGAATCCGTGCAATTTATAGCTAACAGAAGGATAAAATGGAAGCAGACAAGGTCATTGATTATTTCTAACAGTGGAATGTCTTCTTTGATGGGAATCTGAAAATTTTTGACGGCTTTATCAATAATCACGGGAGAAAATCCAGGTCAATCGTAACTGCTCTCAAATAATTAAGTTCATTGGTAAGCAAGATTCG